TCCAGTACTGTTCAGCATCATCATTAATAAACTCTATGTTGGGACTGAGTGTATATTTAGCCAATTTGTGAATGACACCAAGCTGATGAGAGTTGTAAACATTTAGAAGGGTAGGTCTACGATGACCTAGATAGACTAGAGAAATGGTACCAAAATCAATAAGATGAAATTCAACATGGACAAGTGTAAAGTCCTACACTTGGGAAAAATAATCACATGCACAAATGGAGGGCAGAGAATGTTTGACTAGGTTGCAGTACTCCAGAAAAGGACCTGGGGAGTTACATTGCATCATAAACTGAATAGAAGCCAACAGCATGTTATTGTTACAAATAAAGAAAATAGCTGGGTAATATTAATATAAGTGTCTCTTGAAAATCAAGGGAAATTATTCTTCTGTTCTATTCAGCACTGATGAGGTAAAGCTTTTGACTTCACATTTCAAGAAAGATGTTGATATATTGGAAAGAGTCCAGTGGGGAGTGACAAAAATGATTAGTGCCCTGGGCAGCACTGTAGAGAGAAAGATACAGAATAATTGTGGCTACTTGACATAAGTAGCCAGAGCTCCCTCTGGATGAACCCCAGATTGGCTCAAATAGCTTGCACTTAGACCTGGAGACTTAGCAGAACAAACAAATAGCAGATATGGGAAAAAATCAGACCAAGAAGTCATGGTAAAAGGATAACAACGAAGAACCAACTATGGGGAATTAAAAGCAACAAGTTTGTAGTCCAGCTGGTGACTGCCACTGTAAATACAGTAAATAGTGCTTAGATAGAACTGCTAAGAAAAATGAAATAGGATAGCAACAATGATGTCACAACAAGTCATAAAAGAAACAGCAAAGGACAACAAAATTGTCTCTCAGCTAGACTGCATCCCAAGAAAAATTGGATGATCAATGCAGACATGGGAACCTGGGAGCCTTACCTCAGTATGGTCAGAACTGTTGTTAAACTCCACCCAGCGTTGTTGCAGGGTGGTCAGATTCACGTTAATGCATTGTAGCATTGTTGCTTACGTGTGTGTGCGTGTGTGTAGCCAGTAAAACTTGCTTGATCTTTAGTTTGACAAGTGTGCTGTGGTGCAAGTCGTATAACCTCCCTGGCCCCTTCCACTCATGAGGAATAGAAAATTCTACTCCAACAGCACAATTTATGAAGAAAGCTTGGAAGAACTAGAACTATTTAATTTGGAAAATAGATGATTTGCGGGGAGGGATGGATTGGCAACAGTCCTCAGATACCTGAACGCTGATTATAAAGTGGATAGAGATAATTTCTTTTCTACGACTGGGGAACAGGACTAAGAGCAACAGCCTTAAACTTGAGTAGAAGAAATTTACGCTGGAAATTAGAAGCAACTTTCTGACTGCAGGTTGTCAAGCATTGGAAAAGGCTACCTAGAGAAACTGTAGAATATTTTTCCCCGGATTTTTTTTAGGAGCAAGTTAGTCTCTTGACTGGGATGGTTTCTAGTCAGGGAAGTTTCTGCTTTGAGCACGGGGCTCGTCTCACTGGCCTTGTGAGGTTCTTTTTTGCCTTACTTTCCTATGATTCTAATATTCCACTGGAATAATTTACCTTTCACTGAGGAATGAATGAATGAGCAACAATGAAGCAGCAGAGTGCTCGGCTGAGCCACTGAGGAAGTAAATCATCTGTTCAGTCCATAAACAGCAGCCTAGAAATGTTGTTGGAGGCTAACTTGGAAGGGTCTTGTTACTCTGCTTAAGACCTGAATTTCCACCATGATCAAATGGCAGCTTGGGATAGTGAGAAGGTTTCCTCACTACCTCATATCTCTGATTGCTACATTGGAAAGGAGGTGAGTGGGCAGGGCTCCAATTAAGTAAAGTGATTCAAACGTCCTTACACCAAGAATAAGCTGGTATGTTTCTGGGAAAGCAGATGGTGATTCAACCATTTGCTAATGCACTACTGAGGCTATTTTTATTCTTATAATGACTGAATGGTCAGTACTAGGTACCTTCTAAGTGGGTGAATCTATAAGTGCACTTTAGTGTGCAGTAGCCTATTTTACTGCACATTAGAGCATCACAGCAAAAACCACACTAATACGCCAATGCAAAGTAAAATTAGGCTACTGCGCATTAAGCATCACTAAAAAAAAGTGTAATTCTGCTACTGTTCATTAGGGCAGCCTAATGCACATTTAGTTAGTATTTCACATTAGAGTACTAAATTTAAAGCTCAGTAGCAAAAGCACATTAACGAATGTGTAGGCACACCCAGTTTGACCTAGAATATCTAAGTGCTGAACAGAAAGATGTCTATAGCTAGAGAGTAGAAAATACTGGGTACTGGGTTGTGTCTAAAGTTTGACTGCCTTCTCAGAACTTTGGCTACTAACTAAAGAGTACAGGAGAAGTCCTCCCATCATCATGACATCTAAGATGCCTTGGGGAGAGGGAATGAGCACATTTAACAATGACAGCAACAGGAAGAATGATACCCAACATTCAATCTTGAACACAACTAATGGTAGTAGCGCTGCCACCCACCTTTTTCACAATAGTTAGTGGTCTGAACACTTACCTGAGTTCTAGGCTTCTGCAGCCTCAGGGGGACACAAACCAATGTCTCCCACTTAAGATAGCATATTAACCACCAGACTACAAATTAGACTAGATCATGGTTTTGCTCAACCTCAACCGTAGAAGCTGGGGCCTGGTGCATTTTTATGAGATGTAAGTTAAAAATCATGAAAGGGGATAGGGAGACTTGCCACATAGAAGCATGCAGCAGCTGTTTTGATTTAACTTTAACTTTTACTTCTGTCCATTCCTATGTTGGTGTACGTCAGCAAAACTGCTCAAAGTCTCAGCTAAACAAGACAGTTTAGCCCCAGTTATAAGGTACAGGAGAAGATGGATGTAAGAATTATCACTGAACAGTGTACACCAACATAATTTAATACTTATTTTAGTATCATGTCTGTCTACATGCTTACGTACTTAAGTTCTGATTAAGTCCTTTTTAGGGGTCTGTAATACCTATTTGGATTTAGACTTAAATGATGAAAAAGCCTGAGTCCTTTCTGAATGTGACTTAGATTCCTAAATACCTAATATTTAGAAATATTAGAAACAAATACTAATACCTTTAAAAACTGAGATGCAGGTACTTTTGGAAAAGTTATGAATATTCTTTTGGTAAACCTGGTCTGTATTGCGATGATTTTTGCTGTTCTAATTTAGAATTTCTCTTTTCACTAAGTATTTCTGAGATATCTTAAACTAAATAGAATATAATATTCAAGATAATCATGTAGAAGTGATTTATAGAAATCATGCTATTTTCTAACCCTTACTTTAAAAAAATAAAAGGCCTTACTAACTTTCAGCTCCATGCATTGGAAAGGCAATTTTATTAAACTATCCAAAATTAATCCCTCATTTTATCTTCCTGAGATTAAAAACAAGTTATAATCCATTGCTTATAAATTTAAATTGTTCCTTTCCACATACATTACATAGAACTTTTCAAAGCTGAATTCAGTCTTCCAGGCTTTTGGCTAATTTTATTTCTTAGGCCCGTCTGGAGCTCCTTATACTTATGCATTGTCTTGATTAACCTACTGTAATGAGGTGTCATTAACAAATTTTCCAATTTCAGAATTTTATCTATGATCCAAGAAAAAGAATATCCAACAAACATTCCTGGTTTAGTGTTAATCATTTAGCTATTTTGCTTTTAACCACTTTTCATGGAAAATATAGCTACTTATTTTGCTTTCTTTTTTATTTTATTAGGAATTTTTTAAAGCTAAAATAATACAACACACTTTCATTCCAGATGGGCAGATGAAACTTTTACACTGGAGTAACTGGGATAACAATGGTGTAAAAAATGCCATCTATTTAAGTTACATGGGTCTAGACTTCAGCTGCCTGCTTCCTAAAACAGCCATATATGCTTCCCCACTCCCCCCACATTTAATGCTCAGGAACAGCAGTAGCCATCTACTGTGTGAGCTGCTTTAGGATAGCTGTATTAAGTGTATAACTGTCTGCTCCTGATTCCTGTGGCATATATCTCAGCATATAAAACCAATGCAAATTTTAATAGGCTATATATTTATCTGTCTATGCCCTTGTTTACCAAGTCTTTTTCGATTTTTTTTTCAAATGCTACCTGGAAATCTTAGTAGATCTGCAAGGCTCTCTGTTTTCTTAGGATTTTACCAGATCTGTTAAAGGATTCTAACATTTAATGGAACATTATTTATTCTTACTGAAAGCATTTTAGTCTTTCTTTCATGCTGGGCCTGATTCAAAGTTTCTTGAAGGAAATAAGTCTTTTCAGGAACTTTAGTGGGTTTTGTTTCAGGCCTATATTATATTACTAGAGGAGTGAATAATTATTTTTCTCAAACATACAAATTAAAAAAAAAAGCATAACTCGCTTTCAAAAGTCAACTGGTTAATTTTTGTCCTTTACAAACAAAAAGTCACTTTTTAAAACAAAAAAAACTTTTGCTGTAGTGAAATAATGTTTCCAATTAATGTCTCTGGCAATTAATTTTTTATGATAATTTCAGATTTCTTGAATCACTCTAGTAAAAAAGACCTGTGCAATAAATTCTGTTGTGGCAGCTATTGATTCTGTTGTTACATCTATTGCCACCAGGACATCAAAGTCCATGACAGAAATTAGCTCCAACAGCTTGAAGAGAAAAGAGCCTGTAGGAAGCAAGCAGCTCCTTAACCACCCAACCATGACATACATTTGTAACCACTGCCACAGATCATGCAAATCTCAGACTGGGCTATTCAGTCACATGAGACACTGCAAACTATCTCCGTCATAGGCTGCAATATCCACCATCTCCCAATGATGAAAGGATGCCCAAGCAAAACTAGGCAGCTATTAATCACCTGGTAAAACTTTTATGAATAATTGTCTTTTTATGTTTTCACCTTTGCAAAGATCAACTTCAAACACAATAGCAAGAAAATTACTTGTATTCTTACTTGAATCCCAGCTCCTTCTGGCACTGTGATCTTCCATACACAATTCAGATTGTTGTCATAAGGCTCCGGGTAACCAGGAGATAGAATGGTCCCTTTGCGCTTAGTTAAAATTCCACCACAGGGCACTGAAAGGAAATGCATGAGGCAAGAAAAGGAATTTGACAGAGCACTGCTTCAAAAATGAGAAAAGATGTAATAAAAGCTAACACAATGATAAGCATAGAGGAGCTGCTAACTTCTGTAAAGTGATGCTATATTTAAAAATTCATGTTAGCCTCAGGAAAATAAACCCTTGCTTATATTTCAAATCCTCTTTTTAAATTATTAGAAAAGAACAAAAGAAAATTAAAAATTAGGAAATGTTTCTACCTTACAAAATCCTGTTCACTTATCTTAAGAGTTGTTCACTTGAACCTTAACAAAGTGAAAGAACTTTGAGGGTGTCATTTTAATCTCACAAAAATAAAATAATAGGAAAGAATTTGAAACAGCTATCAAAGGAAAGCTCTTAGCCAAAAAATGCCTAATTTTAATTAGTGTATGTTGCTAAATTAATTAATTTAATTCTAATGTTAGAGGCTATTAACTCTCAAACTATCCTCCTTCCTCAGTGAATGATCCCATTAAATTTATGAAGTTACTTGTATTAGAAAAGAAACGTATGAGCAAGACTGCACCCATACAACCTACATCCAAAGACTAATGATACTCCAAAAAAAGTAAAACATAGTGGGCGCATCTACACGAGACACTAACTGTGCAGTAGCCTAATTCTACTGCACAATAGCGTGCAGAGCAAAAACCATGCTAATGTGCTACTGCACAGTAATATTAGGTTATTATGCAGTTAGCATCGCTAAAAAGCCACGCGCTGGTGCTACTGTACATTGATTTAGTACTTAGTTATAGAAGTACTAAACTTAATGTTCATTAACTAGAGCGTATTAATGAATATGTAGATGTGCCCACTCGAAATGAATGAGAATCTTGTCTGAGTCGCTGGATATTCTAACAACTAAATATAAAGAATATTATATCTTCATCTAGATACAATTTTTATGTTGTTATTTTAACAGCTTAAAAAAGATTCATGGGATGTTTTATTAGTACCATTAAAAGACAATCCATCATTCCTGGGCAACATTATCAAGTCCTTGAGCTGATTTCATTACATAGAAATAGGAAGAAAATTTAGCAAATACATGAAAGAATACAACTTACCTAAGTAATGAATACTGTAGCTACGTTTTGTACTACATATAATTGATAGAATTTGTTGGAGACTACATGGATAAACTAAAGGTTGGTGTCAAAGTGTTTAAATAATTAATTGTATAAGCATGAGCAGATAGAATGATTGATGTCTGCTATCTGTAGGGAAACATTCAAACATTTACTAGAGAGTTAAGGCAATTTAATATGGTCATGTCTGTGCTTCAATTATTAAGTGGACTTAGTTCAATGCAATTTTCAACTCATACATATTTCATGACCTTTATTGGTATGGTGATGTCTGCATATTAGGAGTAATTAATACTTTTGACCCGTAAACTTTTCTCAGTTCAAGTGCCTGTAGTCAAATAATTTTCTTTTTTACCTACCAATATGGTAGTATTAAGATGTCAATAAGATCAATAACATTCTGTTGTTGGTTACTAAAATAAGTCTCATCAATTGAAATTACTGTCTCTGAAAATCGAAGTAATTATACTTTAAGATTGCTCATAATCTAGAAAAAAGACAGCAAATATAATTGTCCCAAGTCAAAGTAGATAAAAGTCCTGCTAATTAAACTGCCATTTATAAAAGCAACGGCCTTGAAGCTGTATCATTCATCTTGCTGTTGTTTAAGATTTCCATTGTAATTTATGGGGGGTATTTCAAAAATACCACCAGTAATAAAACTATGTAACTATTACATACAATATTTGGTTAACAAAATGATATTAAGTGATTTCTCTTTCTCTATCTTCCCCAAGAATTTTTTTTGAAGAAAATAAACTTTTTGCTTTTATTCTAAATAAAACCACACCAGCTAACAGCATGGTAGTTTCAAAATCAATCTGATGTACCTGATGCTTTTTGTTTTCCATTTTACTTTTCCCATGCATTTAAAGGTGGGTTACATCTATTTATCAGGTTCTCCTCCCTCCAAATGAATTTGTTTCCAATATACTAAATTATAAAAAGAACAACACCAACCCTTCCCAAAAAATTAGTGGTTGGTGTTACTACTCCTAGTACTCAATTGACTCCATAGTTTGAAAATTGAGTTAGTTCCACAATTATTTCCCCCTAAGTCAGTATGAATGAACAATTTTCTTGATTAACTCTATACAATTACACTGAAAAATATTACTGTATATTTATTATGTTAAACACGATTAAAATTCAGCCTACCATAATGTGCTACAACTCTGACTGAGCCATATTTTCCCTTGATACAGCTTTTTGAAAGACCTGGCCAATAAGAGTTGCATTCTGCTTTCATTGAAACTAAACTTGATCCAATGATTCATAATCTCAGCTGGGATAAATCAAAGCAAATGTATTGATGCCAATACATCCATACTCATTTACATCAGCTAAGGAATTGGGTTAGAGTGTCTAAAATTAGACAAAATATAACTTCTGATTTGGGAAAATACAGTTTCTTTCTGACCTACTATGGAACACTAGTGGAGCTATTTCTAAGCCCACAATAAAGTAGTAGTTGCAGTAAAAGCTTGTAAGAGATCCCAAGGGTGAAAGCATTTTAGCCTTGCAGGTGATCAGGGCATAGACAGCTGTGCTTTTGAGCCTTGATTAATGGGCAGCTCTGAACTGTCATTCATGTTACCTAAAAGTAGCTGATATATAATTTATTGCTGAAGGGTATGGTCATGAAGCTACCGAAATGACTAACAAGGTTAGGACTGAAAGGGGCAAAATATTAACCCTTAATGAAGAAGGAAGAAAAGGGTTCACAACCTCATCCAGGCTAAGATAATATTGTGTTTCTGACATTGTTAAATAAAAGTCCATCTGGTATACCTTTCTGTTCAGTAATGGGAAAGGATACAGTGTGAGTTCAAGCCACAAAATCAGGAAAAGAAAAAACCTAAACAGTAACAAGTTGGAGTACGGACAGAAAAAAAAACAAAAAAACTCAAACATGAATATAAAACAAGAATTATTTTAGACAATAAGTGATTCATGCAAAAATGCAGTTCTAACTTCTTACCAATACATGTAGGTAGGGAATCATTCCACTGTGCCAAAGCATTGGGTACTGTATCACATCTGATTGCTATGGATCCATGGAGGATATATCCTGGACTGCACTCAAAAAGAACTAATGAACCAACAGCAAATTCATTTCCAATCCTTTTTCCAAATCTTGGTTCAGGCACAGAGCTGCACTGTGTTGCACTTGTTCTTGGAACAGCTGCATGCATACAAACAATTGTGGATTCTCAATTTTATTTTTGGTGGAGAAATAGATTTTCAAATAATAACAACAGAAATGATGGGTAGAAACATTCAGTTATCATGTCAGATAATAACATTTGCATAATTCTTAAATGAGTCTTCAGAATAAGGATTCCTCACCTTGACATTTGAATTACAATTCAGATAAACATTAAAAACTAATATTCTTGCCAGAATTACAAATACTTTATAACATCTACCCTGATCCCTTCCTAAAATGGCACTAAAATTTGATGTTTTATTATGAAATATTCAGCTTCAATATACAGTTTCAAACTAGTATAGCTTGCATTTATTGGCTATGGCTTTAAAAATGTATGTTCTGCTTGTTGGAATGGGATTCAAATTTTATGAAAGACTGAATTAAGTAGCAAGTGTTGATGTTTAATCATTGCAGCGTCTAATCCTTAAGAAGGGAAATAATGTACATCAAGTGAAGCATCTTAAGAATAGCAAGCTTACTGATTCACCTAAAGGTAATAACATTTCTAGTCATTCATATTTAAATAGATAAGTCAGTTTGAGCAGCTGGTTGGATTGAACATTAGTCAGCCAGATTAACAAAAAATAGAAATACTTGGTTTTAATAATTGGGTTCTCACATTTGGAAACCTTTCTTAAGCATCTCAAGTGCCCAATTTTATTTTAAGAAACACTTATGCATTATTGAAGATGTCAATAAAAATGAAATTATTTCACATATACACACAACTTGGGGAAGATAACATTACATCAGTAATCTATGATTCTCTCTCCATTCTACGCCTGTTTATACCCAATGAATTCTTTATTTTATCAGTTACATTTGTCAAAATACAATTTAAAATATGATTATAATTCATTTGTTAAGAAAAAGGTGGAAAAGGCATTTATGAACAAAATTAATTTAAGTATTTTTTCCATATTACTAACTCACTTACCTTGATAAACAAAATGAAATCCTTTAGCTGTTACTGGTCCAACTGAAGTAAATCTAATTGTAATCTGGTTACCAGAGCTCAATGGAAGGGATTCACCTACTCAAACAAACAAAGTACAAACTTAACATACACAATTTTAGGGAATAAATAGTAAAAAGCCTATGGAAATATCCACCATTAGAAAACCACCACAAAATACTTCCTGCTCAAATTAAGGGATTTGTATCCATAAACTGATAAAAGTTTTACATTCTTCAATTCTTTAGAAGTTAGATCTTGAGTTCCTCTCTTGCGTTAGTGCTGTTCTCCCTGATTTAAAAACAAATTCTTGGTCTTTAAGCCCCTATTAATAAGCATATAATCTACCCTAATTAACTTTGCCATATATTTCTTACTGTTGCTATTAATATTTTAATATCCATTTTACATAATGCATTAGATAAGAACACAGTCAAGCCCAAACTGAAAAAAGAATACTAACTTCATTAGTTACTTATTAACAGATAAATCCAAAAGAAATTTAGATTAACTTTAGACCAGTTTCCTTTTATCAGCTCAGACTGCTGAGTCACTACTGAATGATTAGGTTTTCATTTCAGACTTTCACATTATATGCTCAATTTAATTTGTTTCTATGAAAATATGACAGCATTTTTCAGTACCTTCCCAGTCAATATCATTTCTAAATAAATAATTGATGTATGACATTTCTATTAAGGGATACCTGAATGAGATCCTGAGAGGGAGGATAACAAAGATGATTGCTGAGTTGGACCATCATATACCTCAACCACATCGTGGAGCAATGTCTGGAAAAATACAAACTGGCCGAACACCACTGGTCAGCAAAACAGAAGAGGTAAGAAAAAGTTTGAAAGAAACCAAGAGAGAGAGAAAGGGAAAGAGAGGGAGAGAGAAAGATCAAATATGTTAACATTATTTTTTTAAATGCATTTTACTGAAAAGAACAAGCATTTATTGGTTAATATCTCTGAATGAAGTAGAAAGAATAAAATTCAGCTATCCATTTTAATAAAATGAATTGTATTTTATTAAAATGGATTACTTTAAAAGGATGTCAGAATGTCTAATTCTGTAGAAAAAAACATAAGCAGGGTAGATAGGGAGTTTAAGAACGTATTTGCGTAAATATTTTCACCATGACAGAAAAACACTCATAATACTACTGCTGCTGAAAGGCATAGGGTTTATTTACTTTATCTAAATGTTCAGTGCAGCTTGCCACTTACTATATTATACATTTTGTGACTATTCTCTGTTTTGTTTTGTTTAATTAATTTAGCTAATGGGACTTTCATTTACATGGGTAAGTTTTACTCTTCTTCTGACCTGGAACTTAACATCTAAGTCCACATTTTTTTCTTTGGGATGTAAAGTGAACAAATAACATTCAAGGTAGTTCTGGAGTCTATGTCCACATTCACAGTAAAAACATTGTAAAAAAAAATAGTAATGATGCCACCAGAAAATTTAATTTCTAATTTTTATCTTATCATTTTTACTGAACTTGGAGAAGGGATATTTTCGCTCCATTATTTGGAATCCCCTGCAAGAATGGATATCATACTGATTTTTCCACTATATAGACTGTCATACAAAAATTAAATTAATTATTCATTTGGGAGACTCCCTCCTGAGGGGGACTGACAGAGTGATCTTCCTCCACAATCCCTTAGCCCATCATACCCTCATGAACCCCAGACCCCCAGGTTCCTCAGCAGAACACCCGATGGACCCCAACCCTGACCCTCAGCATAGCTGGGAGGTAGGTGGGGTCTATGGTGGGTGGGAAATAGCCAGCTGCAGGAGGTAGCTGAGAGGAGCTGAGGAGAGTCATGCCCTGCCCCTCTCCTCCCGGCTCCTACTTGGCCCAGACCCCTAGGGAGGCTCACGACTGCAGCCTCATTAACAGGGCACATAAACAGGTGTACTCTGTGCCTGGTGCAAGGTAACACAGGAGTTCTTGCAGGAGGGCACACAGAATGGGCATGAGGCTCTAGGTGGCAAGCTTGAAGAGAAGGGTTGGCATGGTAGTAGTCCAGGCTCACCTGGACAAAGAAGAGGAGGTTGATATAATATATTTGGACTTCAGGAAAGCCTTTGACTTGGTGTCCCATGATGTCCTTATCGTAAAATTGGGGAACTGTGGCCTCGACAACCTTACAGTCCAAGGATGGACCCAGAAAGTGATAGTTGATGGAATTGAATCAACATGGTGCATGGTGACCAGTGGTGCCCCTCAGGGCTCTGTCTCGCACCTGTACTCTTCAGTGTACTTATAAATGATCTTGGCTCTGGTGTCAGAAGCAGACTGGCTAACTTCACTGATAACACCAAACTATGGGGAAGTGTAATCACCCTAGACAATAAGCTGGTGATCCAGGCCAACCTTGACAAGCTTGCAAGGTGGGAGGATCAAAACTTGATGGCATTCAACATGGAGAAATGCAAGGTACTCCACCCCAGAAGAAACAACCTACATTACACTTAGAGGCTTGGCAGTGCTACCCTAGCTAGCATCATGACTGAAACAGACTTGGGGTCATGATTGACCACAAGATGAACATAAGCCAACAATGCAATGCCGCAGCTGGCAAAGCAAATAAAACTCTGGCTTGCATCTACCGATGCATCTCAAGCAAGAACCAGGAAGTCATCCTTCCACTTTACTCAGCCTTGGTGAGGCCACAGCTGGAATACTGTATCCAATTCTGGGCTCCACAATTCAGAAAGGATTTGGAGAAGCTTGAGAGAGTCCAGAGGAAAGCCACGTGCATGATTAGAGGACAAGAGAGCAGGCCTTATGAGGAGAGGCTGAGAGCCATGTAACTCTTTAGCCTGGAAAAGTATAGGCTTATGTATAAGTACATAAGGGGCGTGCATCAGGAACTGAGAGAACATATGTTCACCAGAGCACCTCAAGGGAAGACAAGGTCCAATTGTCACAAATTCCTGGAAGACCGTTTTAGGCTGGACATAACAAAAACTTCTTTAATGTCCGAGCCCCTGGGGCCTGGACTAGACTCCCCCCAGAGATGGTGCAAGCCCCTACTCTGGACACTTTCAAGATGCCTATTTTGCTGGGATCATTTGACCCTAGCTGACTTCCTGTCCCTTGGGCAGGGGGCTGGACCTGATGATCTTGCAAGGTCCCTTCTAGCCCTAATGTCTATGAAATCTATGAAAGCTCTAATTTTTGGTCTTAGTTTTTGTCCCTAATACTGCCCACACCACAGAAATACAAGCCTAACTAACAACTTGTAGATTGCACCTACACAAGATGCTTATAGTGCAGTTGATTAATTAACTGCACTTTAAACTTCTCAATGTCTACACATGTGCCCCTCTTAGGAAGCACAAAACTAATAAACTCCCTGCTGTGCAGTTTTTTCATGCACAGCAGTGCATGTATAGATACTGACCTGGATGGTTGGGGCATGAGGGTACTTCAGTATTGGGGCTGCCTTTCAGCTAGCCTTCACAGCACATTAAGCCCAGATGGAGCAGCCCTGGGCTGGCAATAGGGTTGCCAACTCTGACTAAGCTATTCTGAGACATCTTGTCCCCCAAAATGATGTAATGTCATTAATAGGGGAGCAACGATAGAGATTTTTTGGGGCCAATACCAATGATCAATTTTTAACAAGCCATATTGGCCTATGCCAATCTGATTGCTGATATGCAGCTGGGCACCTTAGAGAGCAGCATCCGGCTGGTAAGTTTGTTGTGGAGAAAGGGGAGAGGGGAGAGGGAAAGGGAGTGGGGGGGGGGAGGTCGTGGGGTGTGGGGGGCAGGGGCAGGCACTGACAGCCAGAGTGGAATACAGGATGGAGCTATAAATGGCTCATGTGGGGGGAGGGTGGGGAAGCTCCTGCCACTATGCACACCCTGGGAGGGCATGGGGGGCATGTGCCCCTGGATCTGCAGATGGGGCAAGGGCAGTCTGCCACTGTGGGCTGGGGATGGGGCAACACTGCACTCTTCCCAGTGGGGGCTGGGCCAGGCTGTGATCAAGGCAGGTGGCAGTAGCACTTGGAGTGGGACTATGGGGTGGGGCTGCAGCCACCCAAAAATTAACTGTAGCCCCTTTCTCAGCACCACTGCCGCCCACCCCGAGTGCAGCCCCAGCCCAATCCCCCACCAGGAAGAACCCAGCACTGCCCCCACCCTGCAGCAGCAGCCCACTCTCCCCCATGTGCAGAGCTGGGGGCACACCCCCCCCATGCCCTCTGGGGGTGCATATAGTGGTAGGAGCTGGCACCCCCTCCCCATGCCCCCTGGATGAGCCACTTGCAGCTCCACTTGTAGCTTCCCTGACAGTAGACTAACCAGCTGGACCTGGTACCAATCTGATATATTGATATCAATCCAATATGGGATCGATGTTTTGGTGCACCTCTAGTCATTAATTATACTATCCAACCTGTTCACAATATCAATCTCCCATATTGCTTTTAATAGTCACCAATGCCAATTCTGGTAGACTCCTGGCCAGTTTGTGAGTGTTGGCAACCCTAGCTGGCAAGCTGACCCCATCAGGCTTCCTAACAGCTGTGGCTGTTGTGGCCTGGCTCAATGTGCTACAGTCCAAAAGCACATGTAAAGCATATGCTTGGGAGCTTCCCGGGAGCAGTAAGCAATAAGCTCTGCAATAAGGAATAAACAGTAAACTCCACAGTTTACTGCTGCACATTAATAGCATGTGTAGATGTGCCTGTTGGCAGCACTTGCCAGAGAAACTAGTGAGCTTATAAATATAGAGCTCAAATTTCTCTCTCACCAAAATTAGGTTAAAGCTCATGAAAAAGCAAAAAAAAATACTGAGGAACATGGGAAGAAACAATGCAGTGTAACTTGTAGTGCCAGTACATGCGTCATCTGTATTTTCTGAATTAAGAAAAAGCATCACTGGTCAAAGTTTTCTAACTGGCACCATTCAAAAAAACTAGAGCCATACATAATGTACATATACTGTAATACACCCTCACTTACAGCAATTAGGAGTGCCTAAAATCAAGGCAACAATACAACTAATGGGTCATCAAAATATGAACAAACGTTAAAAGGGTAGAAAAACAGTACACAGGTATGTGAAAACTATGCCTACATAAAAGTAAACAAGAGTAAAATGGCTGCAATTTAAAAGTTTTCTTTTCCTTTTCTTTTTTCTTCTTATCAGGAGGTAAGAAAATATCAGTTTGATCAGGTGTATAAATCTCCATCCAGTGTATAGCATGCGTCTTGCTTACTGGCAAAGCTGTATACACAATGATTATTTTGGTTTGGCAGAAAAAAATAGGTGGGTGTGGGGAGGAATCATTTCAGGTTGACCCAGAAAGATTATTTTTATCCCTTAGCGATTTTTTTAAAAAGAAAGCAAAATATCACTTCAGGTTGTCTCAAAGCCTTCTCTGATCTAAAATGGAATATTTATTTTCCTGAATGGTCATTTAATGTTTTTTATTCCTATGTTTTTGAAAAACAAAGTAACATTTTGATTAAAAAATGTCTTTTTGTTTCAAAAGTCCAGATATTTCATTTAGAAAATGTTGAAACAAACAAAAAATCAAATATTTCTTAGAACATGTTGATATTAAAGATGTTATGTTTTTTCCTCTTTTTCAGTCAAAAATGGCACTAGACCTCCAGTAATTTAATTTTTCAGAAAACTTACCTTTGCCAAAAATATCCACCCATCTCTACTTTTTAGTAACAAGGGAATTATAGTTGTGCACATTATATGCAATTTTTTAAAAGCAGCTCCAAAGATAATATGCAAACAGGATAAAGCATAGAGTGCATTGATTTTTCAGAAAC